TCATAAAACTTGCAATAAATCAATTCAAAGTATACCAGTGTCTTTGCTTGACTTTTTAATCCTGTTATTGGTTTCACAACACTCTCGCCATACCCAAATATCTTACAATGCTGCAGTCCTACTTGAGATTTGATCAGCTCTCTCGCGGAATCATGTCGTTTTCCCGGAAGATTGCTAAAAGTGTAGTCTATAATTTCAAGCTTTTTTAGGTTCTTGCAGTATCTGCCAATGTCAGAGAAGAGATCACGGGAGGATATGTTAGATATGGTAAGGTCTCGAAGGTTTGAGAGGAACTTGGAGGCGTCGGAATGGTAGAGAAAGTATGGATAGGACCTGAACTTTGCAGAGAATGAGAAATCAAGAGACAGAGAGTGGATGAATCGACAGCGGGTTATAAAGAGGCGGCACAATGCACGGCAGATCAGATGTTGCCCGTTCGCTATCTTTAATCTGCGAAAATGTAACGAGATTAATTGTGTATACATAAAATGTAACAGACATGATCAGCATAAGAAGCCTCCTAATTTACTTATTCGTGGTTTCCTGAGTCCTCTCAATCCAGGCACTGACGGCCGTATACAGTCCCTGCATGCTAATCTCATCCAAAAAGTCGGCATATTGGAACATCGTCTTCCAAGATTTACATTCCCCCAAATATATTCCACCGTATTCTAAATTAAGTTTTTCGTGCTTGTTCAAGCACTTCAAAAAAGTATCCACTATTTGCGATGAACATCGTGAGGAGCGAAAAGGTTTGCACCAAAAGATAGAAATTGCAACGTAGCACCACAACTTGGAGACCTGTAAGCATGAGTTGAGAGTGCGAAGATCATGTTGGATGTAATAGAATATTTCATGAAGACATTCGGTGGGTAGCGACGGAGTAATGCTTTCACCCAAGTCTTTCAAACCATCATGACTATTATCTTTATGTGTGTTACTGTTTCGTTCACTAGCTTTACTATTCTTCTTACTAAACTTTCTCAACTTTTTCCTAATTCTTTGACAAATCTTGTCCCTTCTATCGTCTCCTCGAGACACAACTTTTCGCTTGACGTCATCATCTTTTTTATTCTTTCCGCTATTTTTATGTACTCTCTCATTATTCACATCACGTGCCTCTACTTCTTCATCGATCACCCATCTCGTAATCTTCTTGGTAAACTTCTTAATCATCACTAGGTATGTCAGCGACAGTAGCAATTCCTGCATCTAATAAAAAACAAGACGACGAAGGAGTGGACAAATGGCTAGGCAATAAGTTATTAAGTAAAAAAAAAACAATTGGATATTTGTTTTTCCAATGTTTCACGAGGAGAATTCGACGGTGTCGTGTCGTCCGGCTTTAAACATTATTTTTAAGATTATATATTGTTACATTACATTTTTAACGAATGGAGTGCGAATTCCTGGCCTTAAAGTCTCGAAATGTAATTTCCTTTCCTTATGTAGGGTCTATTTGATCTACTTTATAAACAAATAAGGATCGATGTCAAATTATTTTGAAGGTTACCTATTATTTCATTGTTTACGGAACATTAATAAACAATGAATATGCGAGTAGACCTAAAAATATTCACGGATATACATCTATCTGTTTTTAGCAGTGTTTTTATTTGTCTACGATGAAACATTTTTCCAGACAACAGTAATCGTATCAAAAGAAGTCGCGCACAGAGGGGTCGATTATACTATTTATAATAAGCTTGACCTTTTTTCAATTTATAGAAGATTATTATATTTTTTAAAAAAAATTTATTCTATTTATTAAAGACCGAAAATAATTCATCAAAAAAGAAAAAGAGAAAGTAGCTACTACTGTATATAACATCAATAATTCTTTGGCATGTGATATCATTTTGCATTCGTACATTGGAATTTATACTGTTCCCTATGTATGTACGCATTCCCTTTAAGGAAAATTAACTGACATTTAGATTCTCACGGGATCATTAAAGAATTCCAAAAGGTTCTTGGCGTGATCTGACCCATGACATACATGAAAGAATCGGGAGCCATGTACGATCCGCAAGGTACACACCACTCACCTCATTGTGGAATGTTCAATAAGAAAAAGTCGTAATGCTTAGAAGTCTTGGGACTTCTAATATATCTGATAGTACGACCGAAGAATATTCAGCATTCTTGCATGAGAATGAATAAGATCGTTGCTTCTCTGAGAAGCTTATTATTCTAAAGAATTCTTTTTGTCCGATTTGGAAAGATTCGAAAAAACCGAAATTTCCATGAAGTGTTGGTTTATATTCCAATGACCTTCATCGTAGATACAGTATATACAGTAGTACAAATCTATTTTTTTTAGAAGTTTTCTAGTGAACTTTCCTTCATATATGATATAGAAATTTCCATATTCTCTTTCTTATACCCCACATCAATTCCCATC